TGGCTGTTAAAGCTGCTTTTCGAGGAGCCACTTGTATGGGGGCTATCCGAAAACGTGGACCATTTTCAATACCAAACAAACCTTACCTATAAGAAATATTTATGTGAAATTTCAACCCTCTAGCTCTTTCCATTCGGACTCTATCGTGCTTTCAACAGACAGACAGACAGACAGACAGACAGACGGACGGACAGACATGAAGGGGTAGGGTCAATTATGGGTCGATCCTCATAAAATTTGGTAGATAGAATTTGGTTCGTATTAAATTTATTTGTGTCGAATTTCATCGCTACACTCGTATTTTTAAACCATTAATGAGCGTTGCAGTCATTTTCTGAAGGGGACCTTATATGGGGGGTAGGGTCAATCATGGACCGATCCTCATAAAATTTTTTAGATAGATTTTGACTCGTATGAAACTTACTTATGTCGAATTTCATCTATATACTAGTATTTTTAAGCCAGTAATGAGCGTTAAAGTAATTTTCTGAAGGGGTAGGGTCAATTATGGGTCGATCCTCATAAAATTTGGTAGATAGAATTTGGTTCGTATTAAATTTATTTGTGTCGAATTTCATCGCTACACTCGTTATATTGATTTTGGATCACACTGAAATATTGATTTTGGATCATAAGAAACTTACTTATGTCGAATTTCATCGCTATATTCGTATTTTTAAACAAGTTATGGCTGTTAAAGCTGCTTTTCGAGGGGCCACTTGTATGGGGGCTATCCGAAAACGTGGACCGATATTGCCCATTTTCAATACCAAACAAACCTTACCTATAAGAAATATTTATGTGAAATTTCAACCCTCTATTCGGACTCTATCGTGCTTTCAACAGACAGACAGACAGACGGACGGACAGACATGGCTAGATCGTCTTAGAATTTAATGAGAACCCAGAATATATATACTTTTGTGGGTCTATGACCAATATTTCTATGTGTTACAAACGGAATGACAAAATCAATATACCCCCCATCTTTTTTGATGGTGGGTATAAAAACTGGTTTTCATCAAAATTATCAATTTAATCAATATTTAAGATAAAAAATAAACATTTTTAACAAAACAAAAATAATTTTATTTTCAAAGAAAAAAATTAATGAAAATTTTTCCTAAAACTTAAAAAACCGCCTCCAAGTCAAGTGTTTGTATACCTATCTTCTATATATATAAAATTCTAACGTTACTGACTGACTGCCTTACTCACTGGCTGACTGATTCATCATCGCACAGCCTAAAAGAAGATTGGCCTCCCACCAAATAGATAGAAGACGGGATTTTTGGAAATTCTAATGTTGAGGAGGCAAAAAGGGTAAAAACGGGTAAATTCGGTAACCTTATATCTCCTAATCTAGAAAAGATACAAAAACAGTTTAAAGCTTCATTCAAAAAATAATCAGGCAGGTATATGGTATTTTTTTTTAAATTCGGAGCCTTTAGGGAATAAACGAACAAAACTGTATTTTGGTACTTTTTTTGCACCCCATGTATCTTTTCAATCAATGAATATACAACAAATATTTTTGACTTATTCATAATATAACGAAAAAATAAAAACATCAATTTAGTACTTTTTGGATATTCGGACGTTTAAGGGGTAAAATTGTACCTATTTTTGGTACTTTTTTCATAAAACATTGTTTTTGGTTTATTAACTTATGCGAATACATAATAACGGACTCCCACTACGATGTTGTAACATTTTGGAATAGAATTTTTATTTTGTTAGTAGGGAGGAAAAAAGTTCCAAAAGGGGGTTAAAACTGGAAATTTGATTTTATTCAAACACTATGAGTCAATTTAGATAAAAATTTTAGATGTATTAACACTAAACTAAAGGATATTTTTTGGTACTTTTTCATTCTCCAACTGGTACTTTTTGAATTTTCTATGGTACTTTTTCGTTCTTCACTGGTACTTTTTGAGTTTTCTTTAAAATTAAACCTAGAAACATGAAATTAAGCATGTAGGGCACGGAGTAAATGAGAATCTATAAAAGGGGACTTTTTGGTACTTTATCGTCCTTCAAATGGTACTTTTTGAGTTTTCTATAAAATTGAACCTAGAAAAATGAAATTAAGCACGTAGAGCCAGGAGTAAGTGAAAACATATAAAAGGAGACTTTTTAGTACTTTTTCGTTCTTAAAAAGGTACTTTTTGTGTTTTTTATAATATTGATCCTAGAAACATGCAATTAAGCATGTGGAGCCCGGAGTTAATGAGAATCTATAAAAGGGTGATTTTTAGTAGGTACTTTTGAATTTCCGATGATAATGAACCTAGAAACATAAAATTATGAATGTAGAACTAGAAGTAAATGAGAACCTATAAAAACGGACTTTTTGATACTTTTTTAACTATTACTTTTTGAGTTTATTATAATATTGAACTTAAACATGAAATTAAGCATATAGTCCCCGGAGTAAATGAGAACTTGGACCTTTTGGTAATTTTTCGTTCAATCTGGTACTTTTAGAGTTTTCTAGAACATAAAACTAAGCAATAAGGGACTTGAGTGAATAAAAAATTTAAATAGAGTATTTTTTTGGTACTTCTTCGTTCTTTAAATGGTATTTTTAGAATTTTCTATAATATTTTCGTACTTCAACTGGTACTTTTTTATATAATGTCAATTTTTTGACAATAACACGTATTTAAGCGTTTTATTGACAATAAACAATCGATACCAAAAAAGTACCCTCTGATGATTTTTGATACTGAAACAAAATTTCATTTTCCATCCCTGCCGTTGATGTTTACTGTACCCGTATGGCATTTAAAGCGTCTTGGCGACACATCAAATTGTTTGACTCAAACGGTAAGTTTTTTGATCGTGTTAGTAAAAAAACTCACACCGCATATATACATGTGAGTTTTTTCACTAAGACCTGGTTCACACTGGCAAACTTTTATGGGAAACTTTTGATTTTTGTGGGTGAGAGAAAGAGAACCAAATATCAACGATCTCTTTCTCTCACACACAAAATCAAAAGTTTCTCAGTGTGAAACAGGTCTAAAGCGACACGGCCACACATCAAATTTGTTTGACCCAAACGGTAAGTTTTTTGATTGTGTTAGTGAAAAAACTCACATGTATATGTGCGGTGTGAGTTTTTTTACTAACACAATCAAAAAACTTACCGTTTGAGTCAAGGCGAATTCAGATAAGGTGGTGTTATTCAATCAGCTGATTATTTTTTTCTTCACTTGACTGGAACGCACTGATGTCAGCATGGCGAAACTAATAAGGTGAAGTCATTTCAAGAGCTGATTGTATTTTTGTCTATGGAAATTTAGTCTGACGCTGTCAAACTCCATATAAAAAAAAATTCTCTCTCAAAACCGACGCTGTCAAACTCCATATATAAAAAATTGAATGAATTCGCCGCAAAATGAAATGACTTCACCTTATAATCTATTCGCCTTGGATGTCAGAGTTTGTTATTGTTTACATTTTTATATTTAAAAATGTCCGATAAAACAGAGAAAAACCTCGTTAGTATTTTGAATAATTTATGTAAAAAAATCTGAAAATATAAACAAATATTTTTCTATATAAATAATGAATAATTGGTAGGTACGCATGTACCAACTTAATATAACAATAATATTTTTTTTTATTAACTGTTAAGAGATTAAACAATATTGCCTTATATTTTATATTTACACTTTTTAGATGACGCGATTAACTAAAAAATTCTGTTCCGGAACACTTGATATAAAAAACCCGCATGACGTATTTGACCGACCGGCGAAAACTGTCTTATATGTTATGGTCAAATTTTGAGGTCTAAAAAAAATAATAAATTGTTTAATATTTACACTGTGTATATAATGTGATTAACTAACAAAATTCTTTTCCGGAACGCTTTTTATAACAAAACCTATATGAGATATCTACCCGTCCGGCGGCAGCTGACTACATTTTGTAAATTTTAAAAATTACTCCGCCGGTGTAGAATTTTCCATTTACAACAAAGATTCTTTCATTCGGTATATAATTTTTCTATAAATTTTTACATTTTTATTTTTCACAAAAATATTAATTTTTCATAATTTTGGGCACAAACTTAAGTATTGCAAAATTAATTTTCCGGAGTAGAATTTTTCATTTAGAACAAACATTATTCCACTCAGGGTATATTATCTTCACAAAATTTAATATTTTTATGTGTATTTTTTATAAAATATAAAAATTTCACAACATATTTGCATTAGGGTTCTATAAATCGACTTTCGAACAACCGACTTTTTGTCGAAAAAAGTCGAAAAGTCGATGTCGACTATTTTGTTCCAAAAAAGTCGATAACTCGACTATCGTCTATGAAAAAGGTCGAAAAGTCGACTTTGTAAATAAAAGTCGAAAAAAGTCGAAAAGTCAAAAAATCGGAAAGTCGAAAAGTCGAAAAAAGTTGAAAATTCGAAAAAAGTCGATAAGTCGAAGAAAGTCGAAAAGTCGGAAAAAGTCGAAAAGAGTCGAAAATTTTAAAAAAGTGGAAAAGAGGTCAAAAACTCTAAAATAATCGGAAAAAATCGAAAAAAGTAAAAAAATAGTCGAAAAAAAGTCGAAATAAATCGAAAATAGCCAAAAAGTCGTAAAAAATCAAAAAGTCGAAAAGTCGGAAAAAGTCGAAAAGTCGGAAAAAGTCGAAAAGTCGACCATTTATAAAATACTAAAAGTCGAAAAGTCGACTTTTAAATAAATGAAAAAGGTCGAAAAGTCGAAAAATCTACTTTTCATAAAATGGAAAAAGTCGAAAGGTCGAAAAGTCGACTTTTAACTAAATGCAAAAAGTCGAAAAGTCGACTTTTCGTTTCAACTATAGAACCCTAATTTGCATTAAATGAATTCGGTGCAATTAATGTTTTGACATTTTTGACAGTGTGTACCAAATGCAAAAGCAAATTACATGGAAAATTTTGTTGTTGCAGAACTGCCACCACCTTATCTGAATTCGCCTTAGTTTGAGTCAACAAATTTGATGTGTGGCCATCTCGATTTAGAACAATTTGTTAATCCTTCAAACTTGGCAGCGCTGGGCGAATGTAAACATACAAGATGATAGGCAGCACATCAGCTTACTGAATGTGAAATGTCAAATCACACATATAAAAAATATACCCTCAAACGTTGATATGTCATACTACCTGCAAAAACCTTGTTTATGTTCGACTTGTAAACATGTGTAGCATTTTCGCTAGCAAATTGCCGATAATTCGTAAGTTATATCTAACGATTTTCAAAACAAACAAGCGTGAGTGTTTCTTCATTTAATTAAAACATTTTTTGAATTAAACCTTATAAACAGCCCATTTATTTAGAATGTCTGTCACAACTGCTAACGCTATAAGCCCCAAACGTTTGCGAACGGAGGGAGCCCCTTTAACTATAGGCACACATAGTGGCACCTTCCATTGTGATGAGGTATTAGCTTGTTTTATGCTTAAACAATTGCCAGAATATGAAAATGCCAAAATATTAAGATCACGCAATGATGCCGAACTGCATGAACATTGTGATATTATTGTGGATGTGGGAGGCGAGTTTGATCATGAGAAAAAGCTTTATGATCATCATCAGAAAACTTTTCAGGAAACCATGAGTAGTTTAAGACCCGAACTAGGAGATCAGTATAAAATTAGGTACGTGCCAGTAATAAATTGTGTAAAACAGAAATTAAATTCTTTGTTTTAGATTAAGTAGCGCCGGTTTAGTTTTCTGTTTTTATGGAGAACGTGTTATAGATCAAATCCTCAAAAAGCATGCCAACGTATCACTCAGTCCGGAAAATTTAAAATTAACATTTAAACAATTGTATGCCAACTTTATAAGTGAACTTGATGCCATTGACAATGGTGTGCAAATATGCCCCGATGGTAAGGAACCTTTGTATAAGATTTCCACACATTTATCGAAGAGAGTGGGTAATTTCAATCCCGGTTGGGAAGAGGAAGGCACCAATGTGGATGTCAATGCCCGTTTCGAAGAAGCTATGGCTTATGCAGGCAAAGAATTTATCGATAATGTGTTGTCGATTGGTGGTTCTTGGATAAAAGCTAGAGAATATGTACGCACTGCTTTGAAAACAGCCAAAGACGTTTATGAAAGTGGTGAAATTCTAATGTTAGAAAAGTTCTGTCCCTGGAAACATCATTTAAGTGCTTTGGAGAAGGAATTTGAAATGGAGGGTGTACCAAAACTTGTAATTTTTGTGGACACCTCGGGTGGTTGGCGTGTAGCTGGTGTTCCTGTAACACCTGACAGCTTTTTGGGTCGTAAGTTTTTGCCTGAACCTTGGAGGGGACTAAGAGACGAAGAGCTTTCTAAGATGGCTGGTATTGAAGGTTTAACATTTGTACATCACACAGGATTTATCGGTGGGGCGAAGACAAAAGAGGCAGCTGTAGCAATGGCTATTAAGAGTGTTCAATGGAGTTCCTAGTAAAAAGTAATGAAATTAAATGAAAAAATAAAAACAATTTATTATGAAAAATGTTGGAATACAAAACGATTTTAACTAAATAACATGATTAGTGCATATTTTGTGAACATGATAATCATAAGATTGTTATAATCTAACATGTCAATCTTTCATCTTATTAAACAATTCTTTTAGTAATTATTAAACATGACTTTGTTTTACATTTGTTTGAAACAAATTATTTTATTTTAATTAAAAATCTTTCTGCCTGAAACACATTTTTTGTGAGAATTGAATTACAAAATACAATAAGAAAAGTAAATAAAACCAGTTTTGCCTTTTCCCGCTCTCTAGTCCATGCGAGTCTTCAATGTTTTTGTGGTAATTTTATCCTTTTCGATAATATACACTGTAGCACCCCAACCGCTTATAGCATCACGATCGAAAGCGTTAATCATTGCTTGAGATATAACTTCAAATAGTTGATTGGGCTCCAAGTCGGGTTTCCACAAGGTTTCACACATACCATACAACTGTTCACCACATGTGCCAGCCACTACAAAATCATCGGGAACATTTGGACAGCCTATCAAATCCATATTACAAATAAAAGGCTCCATTGTCTTGGGATCCAAACCGGCTATGACTGGTTCAATAAAATAGGGTCCAAAACGATGCTCGTACAAGAAACTAGAAAGCATTGCTGAAAATCTGGCCGGTTGCATTTCACGATTTTCTCTAGTCTCGTACAAATTCTTGCGGAACATCAAACGATCCTTGACGGTTAGAATATCAGTTTGAAGGCCCACTAGCCCCAAGAACATGCGTGGATTTATTTGGAATACCTTCTCGAAATCAGTTTCAATAGTTTGGGCCTGTACACCGAAACGTCTATCGGTAGCAATGGCCACACAATCCTTGCCACGCATTGCTACTACGCAACCACCATTATAAGCCAAAATAGACATGTTTACTTATATTTTTAGCAATTATTTTCTTAATTTGTAACTATAAAAATCTAATGATTTTGCAAAAATTTACGAAAATTAAAAATTTGCAAAACAAATGCCGCTTATGAACTAGCAGAGACGATGACTTTTTGTTTCTTTGCAGTGTTGTCGTGTTGTACAAATGTTTAATAATACTTTTAATAACAACACTGTTGAAAAGGATGCCATATATTAGAAATGTCAAAATTTGTTGTTAACAATTATTTGTGAATAGCTTAGAACTAGAACTGAATGCAAAAAAGTATTCGTAATGTCGAATTATTTTCTTGTTTGTATTGTAAAAATAAAAACATAACATTTCACAAATTAGAAATTTGGATAAAACACCTTTGTACTTTCAATACACACATCTTTAGCGGGAATTTGAAAAACAATGAAGTTGCTGTATTTTTCGCGGCAATTTATCACGCCACTGACCGGTATGATGATATTTTAGGTCGTCATACCAAGTCTTCATACAACCCCGGATGGATGTATATTATAGATCGATTCTATCGATTAAACTACCACAATTATCCACTAAGATAGAAGATAATGTAGCAGCAACTGTTTCAGGTTGGGGTTATCAAAGTTCAGGGGATCATTTACTATCGTCGGAACTGAAATATGCCATCGTTTATACGGTTAATCAACAGAAATGTCATGAAAGTTTATATTCTCATGGCGGTATAACAAATGCGTAAGAAGTCTGCTTTCTTGTACTAAAAAAATATATTATCCGTTTGCTATTAAGTTTCTACCTATGTATATATGTATTCTTATGCACTTTATATTTTCAGCATGTTCTGTGCTGCTGCCCGTAATACGGATGGCTGTCAAGGAGACAGTGGTGGACCCATTACAATAAATGGTATACTCGTGGGAATGGTGTCATGGGGAGTTGGTTGTGCCGATCCATATTATCTTGGAGTTTATACCCGCTTAGCCTATGCACCAATACGTTTCTGGATCAAGTTATTAACTAAATTGTAATACATTTATGTTTGTTGAAATATTTGTACAGTTTAAGAAATATACCAAATGAAAAACAAGTAATAAATTATAGTCGGGCGAGGCCGACCATATAATACCCTACACCTTTGACAAAAATATAATGTGATTTATTTGCCATAATAAAGCATTTAAATTGAATTGTACCTTGCCTCAGATATACATACTTAAGCCGTTTATTGTTGAATAAAATTGTGGACATTTAAGTGAAATTTTGATGAGGGCTTTTCATAGGGGCTAAGGTCATATGAGGACCTATTATTATGGAATTCGTGAGGGTCATCAAATCTTGTATAGAACTTGGTTTTTGCAGCTTTTTCCGAGATATGAGTATATTAAACATAATTATAAACTTAAAAGCCTATTCGGCGGGTTCAGATGTATGGGGGCTAGGTGAAATAATGGACCGATGTAAACCATTTTCAACAGGCTTCTTTTACGGTACCATAAAAGATCACGTGCCAAATTTCATTAAATTATCTCCAAAATTGCGACCTGTAGTTTGATTACAAAGTTTAAAAGTCCTATTCGGGGGTTCAGTTGTATGGGGGCTAGGTGAAATAATGGACCGATGTTAACCATTTTCAATAGACTTCGTCCCTGGGACAATAGAAGATCATGTACCAAATTTCATTGAATTATCTTTAAAATTGCGACCTGTAGTTTGATTACAAGGTTTACATGGACGGACGGACATAGCTAAATCGACTCAGAAAATGATTCTGAATGGTATAGGGTATAGGACCAATATTATTGTGCGTTACAAACATCAGTACAAACCCAATATTCCCTCCACACTGAAGTGGTGTAGGGTATAAATACGATTTTTTATTTATAAGTTACGGTAAACTAGCTTTCTCTCGCAAATCAGTCTGACAGCACTTTCACATAAAATTTCCATCAATATGATTTTAATTCTATTACATCATGTTTCTAGATTTAATATTTAAAAGAATTCAAAAATTAAAGTACCAAAAAATTCACCCTTATAGATTCTGATTACATCAGGATATATGTCTGATTATATGTTTCTAGATTCAATATTGTATGAAAACCAAAGTGTACCATTTAAAGAACGAAAAAGTACCACAAATCCCTTCCTACAGATTTTCATTCACTTAGGAATCTGAATGTTGAGACGTCAGGTCTGAGTTGGGGAACAACTCTCGCGTCATCGCCATTATTTCTTAAGGACGATCAGGCTTGTGTTTGTTGCCAAGCTTTCGACAGAGTTACGTCTCACTCGCACCAATTGAGTGTATTACTCCGTATAACAGTTTCTAAGTTATGCGTTGTTTGCATAAATTGCGTGCTTTCGTTTTACTTACCTCATTTGAGGTTATGTTTGATTTAATTGGTGGAGACCAAATAATACTTTTGATTAATTAATTGTTCGGGGCTCCAACTTCCTATATAAAGTATAGGTCGATTGGAGGGTTCTCTCCAAACCAACGTGGATAACCTGGCATTTTGAGTGTTTTAAATACACCGTCAACAAATTACAGAGTTTAAAAAAAAGAATCTGAAAAAAAATATAAGAAATTCCAAAAGTACCTTTGAAGAACGAAAATGTACCAAAATGTCATATTTTATAGCTTTTAATTTACTGCGGGCTCTACATACTCAATTTAATGTTTCTAAAATCAATACTATAGAAATTTCTAAAAGACGGAGATGGCTAAATAGACTCCGTTATATTTAAGGACTCAGAATATACATACATATGAACATAAACATTATAGGGTCGGAAAATTATATTGTAGAAATTACAAACGGAATGACAAACCTTCTTACGAAGTTAAATAAAATAAAAATTCTAACTCACCTTTATAATATCAATTGTTTTGTTTATGTTGATGAACCACGTCCTGATGTGTATAGTAGTGAATGTGAAAAACATACTGCAACATTTGCAACTTTGATGTTCCTGGGTCTCTATATAACAACAAATGGGTTTCGGATCGGATGTTTTCTCTTCCTAAAGTTAAATTTTTCATTTTAGTAACACGAAACTACTGCAAAATAATTCCGTTATTATATTATATATTATAGGAGTACTTGCGGAGCTAGGCATACAATTTATTTTCCTTTTTTTATTGCAATTGGAATATTATTCCAATAGCAATTGTTGCAACAACAGCAATGCTTCACAACACTTCGATAAACGATCAATTCGCGGATGTGTATATATGTGTCTGCAGTTTATCCCGACACTGTCCTGTATGATGACTTTTCGCGCCAAGAAAGTCTTCATACCAAGTCGTCATACAATCCTGTGTATTTCTTATGTGTTTGATAACCTCCTTAGGATTTCTATACGTCTTCATACCTTCAAACACGTCATACAAGAATACAACCCTGGGTTGTAATAAAACAATCGCTAGAATTCACATTTAAAATCCGTTTGATCATAAGAAAAATAACTAAATTGACAACACTTTGTGGGGTATTGCAAAAAAAGAACATTTTGCTAAGAAAAAATCGAAATTTTTTTCACAAAAGCATTGTCAAATATAAAATTTTACCTAGAATTCTCTAAAAAATTGTAGAATAACAAAATTGCTAACTACTTTAGAAAATATAAACGAAATTATACACAAGAAGCTTTAGAAAACATTTACGAAATTTCAGACAAGTGGTGAAACTATAGAAACAGTGTGGTGTGGTAACTAAAAAAGACAAAAAATTGCCAATAGGTATTAACAAAAAAAAAAAAACACCAGCTGAAACAAAATACTAAAATAATATTTTTTGTAGAAAACGCAATATACTATAGTATTTCATTAACAGACTTTTGCAGACGGCTTAAGAAAACAAAGAAGTAAATACCCCCAGCAACGAAAAGCAAACAGTAGCTAGCCCTCTAACAGTAATTTTCAAGCCGGCATAGCGGGCCGCAACATCCCTTAACCAAATAGTTACTATGGCTGAAGCAGTTGTGGAGGAAAGGCCAACAGTGCCAACTAGATTTTATTGTCATATGTGCGATGAGGAAATAAACATTCCCAATACTAACACCGATTACATTTGTCCAATTTGCTCGGGAGGCTTTGTGGAAGAATTACCTCCAGCAGCTACGGCCTCTAATAGCAGTGTAGGTGGCAGTAGCAGTACAAGTAATGCAGGTTTTATGGGCGGTGGAAATGACGAGCAGCAACTGGAGACCTTACGTGGGCAAATAGCCAATTTATTGGCTTCCCGCAACGGTCCCAACCTGCAGATAAATATTAATCCTAGTTCTATGCGCAACCAGCCGAGAGGCATAGTATCCCTGGGCCCTTTGCCAACAGGCGGTGGACGTGTCAGACCTCAAAGTCTAGATCGCTTGGACGATGTCTTATTAAACTTTTTGCAGTCGATATCTGTGGGTAGTGGCGCTGTAGCGGGCGAAATTAATCCTTTCGATAATTCGCAACTTTTATTTATGGGCAATTTGGGTGATTATGCCTGGGGTCGTGAGGGTTTAGATACGATTGTTACCCAATTACTTAATCAAATGGAAACATCTGGTCCCCCGCCTCTGGCCAAGGATAAAATTGAGGATATACCCAAAGTAGACATAAGCGCCGAAGAAGTTGAACGTAAATTGCAATGTTCCGTCTGCTGGGAAGATTTCAAAATTAATGAAAAGGTACGCAAACTACCATGTTCTCACTTGTATCATGAAGATTGTATAGTGCCATGGTTAAATTTACACGGCACTTGCCCTATATGCCGTAAATCGCTCAATGGCGAAGAAGACGACGATAATGATGTTCACATGGACATTGTTGATGAGCATCAGCGTCCGGCTACTGCTTCTGTATGTCCCATACATCAACAACAACAACAGCAGCAGCCACAACAAAATCAAAATAATACAAGTAATAATTCGGAGCAACCTGGTACTAGCAATTCAGCTGCTAATACATCAGCATCATCTAGTCAACGTCAGCAGCAGCAACAACGCTCTGAAAATATTTTTGGTTTTGAAAAAATGGATAGTGTTGATTTGGACTAAATAGTTTTTGTTTGTCTCATTTATTTTTCTTCTGTTTCTTAACTAGCATGTATGAGAATTGGAAATATTATGTTATCTATACAAGGTGAGCGAAACACAAGTAAGCTTCAAGGGGGTTTTATATAAAAAACATATATTTTTAATTGGGTTTCTTTTTGCCAAATTTAACAAATATTTAAATTGTTTTGATTTCAGAGACTTATTTATTAATCATAATTTTATTTATGTTACAGAAAAGAGAGGGAAATTATAAAGTACACGATTTTTCAAAATTTATTCATAAACTTTGCCAAGTATCTATCCTTAAAAATTATATTTACATTTGTTTTTTTTTAAGAATTTAAATATTTGTTTTTATTTTGGCCAGATATTAAAAAAATATATTTTAACTTCGCTCAATGTATTATAAGCTACATTTTTATAATTAAATATTTTTAACGGATTTTTTTTTAATTCTTTGGAGTATTTGTTAATATTAAATCTGTTTCAGTACTCAACAGATTTACAGGTTTTGAAGGGGAACAGTAATTAAGCTGGGAGCAAAGAAAATAAAAATTTTATACCACAATCAGGACCTGCAAATCTGACCACTAATTGAGTAAGAAAAATCAAAAAACTATTGGAGAAACTAATGCTCAGTTTTTGAAACCGTTAAAACTTCAAACCAAACTAAATTATTAACTTTCGTTTCTGCACAGGTCATGTTTTATTATTTTTAACTGTCAACTAATATTATCTATACATTTTTAACAACATTATTATTTTGTTTGTATTTAAATAATTAAAAAAAATCGATCTTGTCACCTAAACTTTGGCTATACATACATATATTTAACGATATACATAATAATATTATATATTCTAAAATACTAAAACAGATATTTTTCATTTAATTTATTAATGTAAAAAATACTTTTAAATGAAAAACAAAAAAAGAAAGAAAATTTAAAATATTAATTAAAATATTTTATGCGAAAACTAAAAATCTATAAATTTATTATAAAAAAATGAGTGCGTGTGTCGAACATAATATTAAAAGGTTATTTGTTTGCCACAATAAAACAGATAAATCACAGCAAACTCTCACCTAAAAACCATTGTTTTTATGCATAACTTTATATTTTTTTATTTTTTTAATTTTAAAATAATATTTTTGTTTATTGAATGCCACCAACTTCTTTTAATATTTACTATGATATTGTAAGCTGAAAAAAACAAAATTATTTATTTTTGTATAATCTAATTTTTATTATATTAAACACTTTTTAAGGAAAAATTTCTTTTTTTTAATATTTGTAACTCAAACTTTTAAAATATTGTTTCAATTTTTGCCTAAAAACACATTATACATGAATTATACTATACATATTATTCAAAAAAACGTTTAAAATATATTTAATAACATTTAATGATAGCTTAGTTGAAGACGAAATAAAAAAGTTGAAAAAAAAACATAAATACATAAAATGTAAAAAAAAGGTATTGAGAGTTTTATTACGTATAATAAGAGTAATCAATAAAAAGTATGTAATTTTTACAATATTAATTTGAATGACAAACCACAATACAATTTTTCAGCAAATATTCAATTGAGTAGAAAAAAATTCACCACAAACTCAAATTTGCTAAATTAAATGTTCTGTTTTGTTGTGGTTTAATACACACATTACTATTAATACACACATACTATTTCATCCTAAAAATATGCTGTGTGTTTCTTTTTCAGTGCTGCACACTTATTTGTGTTCTTTTTATCAGTGTTTGGTGCTTTTTAAAATAAAAAGTTGGCAACGCCATTGTCCTAGCAGATTCTTTTTTCATAAATTGTTGTTGGACCATAAATTAACTAAAAAGTTTTGCAAAATTGCCAATAAGATTGATTAACAACAATTTAATACAAATACATAACAATAAATATGATAACAGATGCAGTAGGAGAGGCCATTGATGAAGATAATGATGAAAGCAATGAGCTATTGCAGGAATTGCAAGAAAGTAACCAGGACCCGGAATTTACGCGCTTAACAGAAATGGTCAGTAAATACACATATTATTTATTTATTTTTATAAAATATCTTCATTTTAAAAGGTACGCCAGCACTATTTGAATTATTTGGAAAAGCAATTGCAAGAGAATTTGTTAAATTCCAATAGCAATAATAAAAAGAATGGCTTGCGCCGGCAGGACTACGCTAATGAGGAATTGTGTAAAAAGTCAATTAGAAAAACAGCTGAGCTGTTGGAGGATAAAGCCGTCAAAGCATGTATGATAGCAAAGTTCTATCAAAGAGCAATGGTTAAAATTGTAAGTTGAAAAGATAAAATTGTTTATACATTACACAGTTAATTACAGTTGAAAAGTTTCCAATATACAAAACTTTGTTCTCTATGCTCGGAATGACTAAAACAAATTAAAATTGTTCTAAAAATTGAATAAGACTCACCGGAAAGTATGTATAGATCTTTTAAATATGTACATATGTATATAAATTAGACTGTGAGTTTGTTCCACTTTGATGCAAAAACGTATTAATCGTTTTATATCTATGAATTTAGTATTCTCGAATTAGAGATAACGTCCCTTATATAAAATGTATTTCAAATATTCCAGATCGCAATAGTCAGGCGAACAACGCAAGAAAAACGCTTATTTACACATTTGGAGAAATGTATAAAAACTAAAGTTAGCTCCAAACCACTAACAACTTCCAAAGAAACGCAAACAGAAGCTGGCCTTCTAGAAGATATATGTCCACATAATGACGCACCTTTAACACAAAATACAACATTTCAATCTGGTGACCATGGTATTGATCATGATCAAAATAAAATGTCTTTAGATGAGAAAATTGAAATGTTTCAAAAACATTTACAAAAAGAAAAATGTTTGGATATTGTTAAGAAATATCCCTTAAACAATCAGACACCTAAAGTGTCTAAAAGACAACAACACCATCGTAACTATAGGCGTCACAATAGGCATCGCAGTGAACACCATGCAAAGCCTAAACAGGAAGAAGTTTACTTTAGTCCCACACCGTCTATTGTAACAGCTCCCATTTCACCCATTTCACCTGCGGTACAGAAAACGCCTTTAGACACATCTTTAATTGAAGCGGGAGCAGTATCCCAAGAAGTGGAAAATGAGAATTCTAATGATAGCGTTGCTGTAGAATTGGCACGTCTTTTTAGCGAGGAAAAAACTGAATTGGATGAAATTTTTGGCATTGATCCGAATGAGGAGCCCGATGATCCCCAGATTTGTAAAATTCTTAAAGAAATTGAAGATGCCAAAATTAATCAAACCACAAAAACCAATATAGTTGGTGTAATAAATACTAAAGAAAATCCTGAACCAATCGAACATCAAGACAACAACTTTCTTCTAGAACCGAAACAAATACGGCCACAAAACTGTCAAGATTTATTTAAGTCTATAGATTTAAGTAAAAGCATTTGGCCTTGCGAACTGTTTATGCAGAGACGTAAATTAAGTGAATCATTGGCACGTCTCATCGAAGAAGATCTACGTTGGCATGATGTAATGAAATGGAAATTTGTCCAACTGTTTGGTGAAGACAGTGATGATGAATTTACGCCCTGCAGTCCCAGCATAGAATTAGATGAAGTCCTAATAGGCAGCTGTATTAGACGCATTTCGCCTTGGGTGGTGCAACATCTTATGAAGCCCATGCGGGATGGTTTAATTGGCAATCGTTTCCTGTTCAAAAAATTGGCCAAAAGTTTGGCTCGCAGTATTATTATGGAAAATCAATATCCGGGTAAGTATTGCAGATGTTAAATATTTATTTAAAGGTGTTTTTTAATTATTGTTTTATGTTTACTCTTTTAGACGAATCAATAATTAAAGATTGTGTGGAAACCTTTTTCTGCCTGCATCAGGCAGTAATGTCACTGG